TCATATGAAATCAATTATTTCAGATATCAACAATGAAAATGTACTAGCATGCATTTCATTAAGAAGATGTACATTTTGCACTGCATGTTCTTAGTTAGCAGAATTAATGAGGCCCTAAAACATACAAATATGTTTTCCAATATTGTATAATCATTCACTGACATGTAAACCCCTCTAACCAGGCTCTTTGCTCTTTAACAAATATCTACTTCTTCCTATCCAGACATTTAGACCAGGCTGGACTGGTAATCTGGCCTACCTTCAAATGCCCGGTGGGCTGACATCATTTCAGGGGTAGCTATTCTGAGACTAATATCCCCCATCAAATAATGCTCCCTCTACAGACACAATTTATATTTCACCACTACTTCCTCCATATGTACTGTAAGGAGATGTGGAGCATGTTGAAATACTATATTAGGCCATCTTTATTTAACATATCAGGGAAAGCATATTCTGATGATGATGATTTTTTGTGTTAGACTTTGCTGACGATCATCCACTGTCCCCCCACAAAAAAAAATTCTTCAGACGGCAAGCCTATTAAAATATATTATTGTCTTGTTGTCATTGCCCCAATCTTGTGCAATGTTACGTCTCATGGGCTAAGTGTTTCGTCACACTCCTTATCTGAGCCCTTAAATGGAAGAATGGTGTATTGGTGAGGGGTGTCCATAGACAGGGCCAATTTTTTGTCCCTGTCCAGCCATGATTTGGACTCATGCAGCTGAAAACGGTCAGAAGGCCTAGTTTTAGCAGCAGTTATACATGTGCTGATGTGCATTTTCCGTGTGTTTAATTTGCATGTATATATCCACTAGCAAGGACTGCACAATCAACAGGTATGATTCAATGATTTATTGATGATCGAAATAATATAATCCTATATTATAATCCTATGAAGAGGAAGAAGATCAGGAGGCAGGACAGAGAAAGGGGTGGGGGGGGGGGGATGCAGGATACGAGAGGGAAGGGGAGGAGTTGGGACGTGTGGGTATTTATGGAAATGCTGGCGATGACCTGGTTGATGTGTGGTCCCGCTCCTGAAACTCTGCTGATTAGCACCACTTAATGCAATTTTGAGGTACTTGAGTGTTTCCATTTTCATGCTACTTCACTACATGGTGTAGTCATGGACTCAGACCTGAATTTGAGGAGCCACATTAAGACAATTAGAAAGTCAGCATACTCTCACCTGAAGAATATATCAAGGATTAAAGGACTTATGTCTCAGCAGGACCTGGAAAAACTTATTTATCTTCAGTCGACTTGACTACTGTAACAGTGTCCTTACAGGCTCCCTAAGAAATCCATCAGACAGCTGCAGCTGATTCAGAACGCTGCTGTTCCAGTCCTCACTAAGACCAAAAAGGTGGATCACATCACTCCAGTCCTGAGGTCTTTACATTGGCTTCCTGTCTGTCAAAGAATTGATTTCAAAATCCTGCTGTTAGTTTATAAAGCACTAAATGGTTTAGGGCCAAAATACATTTCTGATCTTCTGCTTTGTTATGAACCATCCAGACCTCTCAGGTCGTCTGGGATCAGGTCTGCTTTCTGTCCCCAGAGTCAAAACTAAACAAGGAGAAGCAGCGTTCAGTTATTATGCTCCGTATATCTGGATCAAACTCCCAGATAACTGCAGGTCTGCTGAAACTGTCAGTTCTTTTAAATTAAGACTGAAGACTTTTCTTTTTACCACTGCCTTTAACTAGTAGATTGATAACTTACACTGCACTGTAACTTTTATTATATTTTAATTTGTATTTTTTCAATTTCCCTATGTTGCTTTTAAACTTTTTTATATTTCCCTGTTGCTTTTATGTTTTATGTGAAGCACTTTGAATTACCTTGTTGTTGAAATGTGCTTTACAAATAAACTTGCCTTGCCTTACATCTCAGAGGGAAATGATCCCGGTCCACTTTTCTCCTCTCCTGTGCCCACGCTTGTTGTTGCTGTTCTCCATCCATCCTCCAGATGGACTTTTTATTGCTTGGATACGAAATGCATTCAGAGACCAAATATTTCAAAATCCCTGAGCTGTTTTCTCACTCAAACTCAACCAAAACTCGAACCCCTCATTTCATTCCCAGATGACCTCTATGAAGACTTGTGCCAGGTGAGGCAAAGGGGGGGCAAGTGAGGCGCCGTCTCTTCCAGTCACAGGAATTACTAGACAAACATCAAAGAACAAAATCCACTACAGAAGCTGGACCCGAGGAAAGGGAGGCAGTGAGGCCGAGTCCAGAAGGAGGACGTGGAGTTTCACAGTCTCTTCCAGCCACAGAGTGATTTACAGTCTGTTTCTCTGTAGTGCACAACCTGGTTAAAAGTGACAGAGAAAAGAGAAGAAGAGGAAGGAGGACACACCGAGGGAACCACCAGCTGTTTCTTAGAACAGGACTCACTGAGAACAGAAAGGTATGGAGACCTCAGCTGTTTATAAAGGCAGTGTGCTGGATAATCTTTGATTTGTTACAATGCATCTATGTAATTTATGGCATAATGCATAGTGACGCAGGAAACATGAAGCATCTCAGGGCTCAGTTTAGCCTCTCTGTGACTCTGAAAGGCCTTTGCAGATACTCCATAGACTCCAGCCAAAAGTTTGACACACAATACAGACTTCTTAGATATTAGAGAGCTGAAAACCAGATGTTTTCTTGTTGCTACTTGTTTGATTTGAGCCAAAACCTTCAAACTGATCAACCACAGCGATGCTCACACTGTGCAAAGCAGAATTCTCGCCAAGATCAATATTGATTGTTCTTGTGGAAACATTTAGTGGAATATTGGTGGAAGTCTCTCCTAATGTGGTAAAAGAGAGACTCTGGACCGGGCGGGGTTTGTCTATATAATGCTTGGATTTTTGAAACTACTTCAGTTCTTTCTGCAGAAATTAACTCTGGTCTTTTTGTGTGAGTTAATAAAAAGAAGATCTTCAAAAGCTCAGAACTGTCTGCTTCATTTTATTGATTCGGATTTATTCGAATCTTCCAAAAGAAACGCAAAGAAGAGAATTTCTTTTTCAGCTCTTAAAGGATTTTCATCCGACCTGAAGCTCGTCTGTCTCTGTCGGGGAAACATGAGGACTCTGGTGACCATCCTACTTCTGACTCTCGTCTGCTTCCTGAGTTACAGCTCTGCATGTCAGTAACTCTGCTGGATTTATCTGTGAGCTGTCGGTCTAAACTGTGTTTAGGAGACAAACTATTAAATGTTTGTGTTTGTGTTCACAGATCCAGTTGCAAAAGGAATGTTGAATAGGAAAGTATGCTGTCTAAAGTCCACTCAGATGCAGGTTCCTAAGGGAAAGATAGCAGACGTGGCGATGACCCGAGTGACTGTGAACAACAAGCAATTGTGTAAGTATACAAAGAAAATGCATTAAAGCAATAACTACAGGGCACCTTTAGGGTAAAAGTAAAACAACTTTCTATAAGGATCTAGCTCCTTGTATAGTGTTAAATTAAATCAAACTTCTTTATATTGTGGGGTTATTTAATGACAACGCTTCATATTTTCTAAGGGTTTGTATATAAATCTTTCTGTAGCAGCACAAAGTATCGTCATGTAGTAGACTTGTGTAGTGAGTGAGTAAAATGAACTGTGTGTTTCTTACAGAGTCACGACTGTGTGCAATAAGAAGCTTTGCATTGATCCCAACTCAAACTGGGCGAAGAATCTGTTGAAAGAATTTAAGAAGTCAACTGCCAACAACTCGCCACCATCTGCCCCCTTCAATGTCACACGGTGTACATAGAAGGTTTAAAAAAGTGTGAGGGTGTTGTTCCTTTGAGTATCACAACTACATGTAGATTATGTTCTTTATAAACATGCCTGTCACTCTCTGTCAGCCCTGCAGCTGATTAATTAAGGATGATTATACACAAAAATATCTTTGTAGGTTAAAGGTGCTGCTTTTAACTGACACCGTGACCTAAATAATAACTTCTAAAATATCAAAACACACCAGCGGCTTCTAAGATCAGAAACTATCAAGTGTTTAGTGTGCATGACTGAGTCAACAAGAAGTGATATTTTATACTCAAATCTCTACAGCTGTGTCCTAATTAAATGTTTTTCAGTGATTACAGGAGGATATTTGAAATGTGTGTTTATTATTGCTACACAAAGTGCTGCCTGTTTCTGAATTAAAGCTTTCATTTTGTATTAAGTGTTCTGCTCTCTTTATTTTGGAGGCCGTGAGTCAAGAGCCAAACTCCTCTTTGAGTCCTGAGTTGAGACACTGAGAGAAACTTTCACGCTGTTCAATATTTATAAATCAGAATATATGTTGTTTAAAAGGGCCCCTTTTAAAATACTGCGACTTTTGTGTGAATTCAACACTGATGGAAAGTGACTAATAACTCAAGTACTGTACTTAAGTACAATTTTAATGTACTTTACTTGAGTATTTCCATTTTCTGCTACTTGATAATTCTACTTACTACATATCAGAGGGAAATGCGGTCCATTTTTCTCGCTCCTGTGCCCATGCAGACCTTGTTGTTCTCCATTTATCCACCAGATGCCCCCCATTTCCAACAATCAGTCCAGCAGTCATTTCCACCTCGACAGTTACCAGTTACTCTGCAGCTTCACATTACAGTTGGTTTGTTTCTTACAATTGATAAGCCAAATTTCTCTAAACAAGTTAGCTTTTTCAAAATTCTTCACACAGTCAGCTCAGCAGAAATCAATGAACTAACTAAACTAAACTGTGGATCACTTTCTGTTGCTTGGATGTGAAATGCATTCAATGACAGCGCCTTTCAAAATTCATGAGCTGTTTCGTCACTCAAACTCAACCAAAACTCTGTATTGACACACAAAAAAATGCATCAACTCCTAACTGGGACACTGAGCGCCTCATTTTATTTACATTTGACCTCTATGAAGAGGCACAAGGGGGGGCAGGTGAGGCGCCGTCTCTTCCAGTCACAGAGAGGTTTGCAGTCCGACTCAGGGTGGAGTCACTTTTCCTTTTACCTCTACTCTCCGTTCAGCAACCCCTCAGAGGAAATCTTGTCCTCATGGAGGTGGGAAGTTTCTGACCAGCAGCCACATGATCAGATTTCCCTCTTGGACACAAGGAGAAGGTGGACGAGGCAGGAGTCAGGCCAAGAACAGGAATTACTAGACAAACATCAAAGAACAAAATCCACTACAGAAGCTGGACCCGAGGAAAGGGAGGCAGGTGAGGCCGAGTCCAGAAGGAGGACGTGGAGTTTCACAGTCTCTTCCAGCCACAGAGTGATTTACAGTCTGTTTCTCTGTAGTGCACAACCTGGTTAAAAGTGACAGAGAAAAGAGAAGAAGAGGAAGGAGGACACACCGAGGGAACCACCAGCTGTTTCTTAGAACAGGACTCACTGAGAACAGAAAGGTATGGAGACCTCAGCTGTTTATAAAGGCAGTGTGCTGGATAATCTTTGATTTGTTACAATGCATCTATGTAATTTATGGCATAATGCATAGTGACGCAGGAAACATGAAGCATCTCAGGGCTCAGTTTAGCCTCTCTGTGACTCTGAAAGGCCTTTGCAGATACTCCATAGACTCCAGCCAAAAGTTTGACACACATACAGACTTCTTAGATATTAGAGAGCTGAAAACCAGATGTTTTCTTGTTGCTACTTGTTTGATTTGAGCCAAAACCTTCAAACTGATCTACCACAGAGCTGCTCACACTGTGCAAAGCAGAATTCTCGCCAAGATCAATATTGATTGTTCTTGTGGAAACATTTAGTGGAATATTGGTGGAAGTCTCTCCTAATGTGGTAAAAGAGAGACTCTGGACCGGGCGGGGTTTGTCTATATAATGCTTGGATTTTTGAAATTACTTCAGTTCTTTCTGCAGAAATTAACTCTGGTCTTTTTGTGTGAGTTAATAAAAAAGAAGATCTTCAAAAGCTCAGAACTGTCTGCTTCATTTTATTGATTCGGATTTATTCGAATCTTCCAAAAGAAACGCAAAGAAGAGAATTTCTTTTTCAGCTCTTAAAGGATTTTCATCCGACCTGAAGCTCGTCTGTCTCTGTCGGGGAAACATGAGGACTCTGGTGACCATCCTACTTCTGACTCTCGTCTGCTTCCTGAGTTACAGCTCTGCATGTCAGTAACTCTGCTGGATTTATCTGTGAGCTGTCGGTCTAAACTGTGTTTAGGAGACAAACTATTAAATGTTTGTGTTTGTGTTCACAGATCCAGTTGCAAAAGGAATGTTGAATAGGAAAGTATGCTGTCTAAAGTCCACTCAGATGCAGGTTCCTAAGGGAAAGATAGCAGACGTGGCGATGACCCCGAGTGACTGTGAACAACAAGCAATTGTGTAAGTATACAAAGAAAATGCAATTAAAGCAATAACTACAGGGCACCTTTAGGGTAAAAGTAAAACAACTTTCTATAAGGATCTAGCTCCTTGTATAGTGTTAAATTAAATCAAACTTCTTTATATTGTGGGGTTATTTAATGACAACGCTTCATATTTTCTAAGGGTTTGTATATAAATCTTTCTGTAGCAGCACAAAGTATCGTCATGTAGTAGACTCGTGTAGTGAGTGAGTAAAATGAACTGTGTGTTTCTTACAGAGTCACGACTGTGTGCGATAAGAAGCTTTGCATTGACCACAACTGGATCTGGGCGAAGAATCTGTTGAAAGAATTTGAGAAGTCAACTGCCAACAACTCGCCACCATCTGCCCCCTTCAATGTCACACGGTGTACAGAGAAGGTTTAAAAAAGTGTGAGGGTGTTGTTCCTTTGAGTATCACAACTACATGTAGATTATGTTCTTTATAAACATGCCTGTCACTGTCTGTCAGCCCTGCAGCTGATTAATTAAGGATGATTATACACAAAAATATCTTTGTAGGTTAAAGGTGCTGCTTTTAACTGACACCGTGACCTAAATAATAACTTTTAAAATATCAAAACACACCAGCGGCTTCTAAGATCAGAAACTATCAAGTGTTTAGTGTGCATGACTGAGTCAACATGAAGTGATATTTTATACTCAAATCTCTACAGCTGTGTCCTAATTAAATGTTTTTCAGTGATTACAGGAGGATATTTGAAATGTGTGTTTATTATTGCTACACAAAGTGCTGCCTGTTTCTGAATTAAAGCTTTCATTTTGTATTAAGTGTTCTGCTCTCTTTATTTTGGAGGCCGTGAGTCAAGAGCCAAACTCCTCTTTGAGTCCTGAGTTGAGACACTGAGAGAAACTTTCACGCTGTTTAATATTTATAAATCAGAATATATGTTGTTTAAAAGGGCCCCTTTTAAAATACTGCGACTTTTGTGTGAATTCAACACTGACGGAAAGTGACTAATAACTCAAGTACTGTACTTCAGTACAATTTTAAGGTATTTTACTTGAGTATTTCCATTTTCTGCTACTTGATAATTCTACTTACTACATATCAGAGGGAAATACGGTCCATTTTTCTCGCTCCTGTGCCCACGCAGACCTTGTTGTTCTCCATTTATCCACCAGATGCCCCCCATTTCCAACAATCAGTCCAGCAGTCATTTCCACCTCGACAGTTACCAGTTACTCTGCAGCTTCAGATTACAGTTGGTTTGTTTCTTACAATTGCTAAGCCAAATTTCTCTAAACAAGTTAGCTTTTTCAAAATTCTTCACACAGTCAGCTCAGCAGAAATCAATGAACTAACTAAACTAAACTGTGGATCACTTTCTGTTGCTTGGATATGAAATGCATTCAATGACAGCGCCTTTCAAAATTCATGAGCTGTTTCGTCGCTCAAACTCAACCAAAACTCTGTATTGACACACAAAAAAATGCATCAACTCCTAACTGGGACACTGAGCGCCTCATTTTATTTACATTTGACCTCTATGAAGAGGCACAAGGGGGGGCAGGTGAGGCGCCGTCTCTTCCAGTCACAGAGAGGTTTACAGTCCGACTCAGGGTGGAGTCACTTTTCCTTTTACCTCTACTCTCCGTTCAGCAACCCCTCAGAGGAAATCTTGTCCTCATGGAGGTGGGAAGTTTCTGACCAGCAGCCACATGATCAGATTTCCCTCTTGGACACAAGGAGAAGGTGGACGAGGCAGGAGTCAGGCCAAGAACAGGAATTACTAGACAAACATCAAAGAACAAAATCCACTACAGAAGCTGGACCCGAGGAAAGGGAGGCAGGTGAGGCCGAGTCCAGAAGGAGGACGTGGAGTTTCACAGTCTCTTCCAGCCACAGAGTGATTTACAGTCTGTTTCTCTGTAGTGCACAACCTGGTTAAAAGTGACAGAGAAAAGAGAAGAAGAGGAAGGAGGACACACCGAGGGAACCACCAGCTGTTTCTTAGAACAGGACTCACTGAGAACAGAAAGGTATGGAGACCTCAGCTGTTTATAAAGGCAGTGTGCTGGATAATCTTTGATTTGTTACAATGCATCTATGTAATTTATGGCATAATGCATAGTGACGCAGGAAACATGAAGCATCTCAGGGCTCAGTTTAGCCTCTCTGTGACTCTGAAAGGCCTTTGCAGATACTCCATAGACTCCAGCCAAAAGTTTGACACACAATACAGACTTCTTAGATATTAGAGAGCTGAAAACCAGATGTTTTCTTGTTGCTACTTGTTTGATTTGAGCCAAAACCTTCAAACTGATCTACCACAGAGCTGCTCACACTGTGCAAAGCAGAATTCTCGCCAAGATCAATATTGATTGTTCTTGTGGAAACATTTAGTGGAATATTGGTGGAAGTCTCTCCTAATGTGGTAAAAGAGAGACTCTGGACCGGGCGGGGTTTGTCTATATAATGCTTGGATTTTTGAAATTACTTCAGTTCTTTCTGCAGAAATTAACTCTGGTCTTTTTGTGTGAGTTAATAAAAAGAAGATCTTCAAAAGCTCAGAACTGTCTGCTTCATTTTATTGATTCGGATTTATTCGAATCTTCCAAAAGAAACGCAAAGAAGAGAATTTCTTTTTCAGCTCTTAAAGGATTTTCATCCGACCTGAAGCTCGTCTGTCTCTGTCGGGGAAACATGAGGACTCTGGTGACCATCCTACTTCTGACTCTCGTCTGCTTCCTGAGTTACAGCTCTCTCTTTTTTTTTCCTGTTAGTGAAATATAAAGTATCTGATAATGGAAGTACTCAAACACAGTGAAAGTACTGAAAGTACTGAAAGTTATTAAATAATCAACAATCAAATTTAATGTCATTAAAAAAACATCAAATGAGAAGTTCACAGTCAAAACCAAACATTTGCTAAATATATTATTATAACAGTTATATATTAATTCACTAACAATTGCTTTAGCAATTTGAAGACTACAGAGGAGGGAGCTGTTCAGTTATTTTGAATATCACACACATCACAGAGTCTAGACCTGCTCTTTTATGGGGATAACTGTGATTTGGCGCTATATAAATAAAATCTAATCAAATTGACCTGATGGTAAAAAAAAGGCTGCTACTGTAAATGGTACAATTTATAGTACTTTTACTTCTATAGGACTTTATACTTCATTACAACTCAGAGGTAAATATTACTTACTCCACTACAGTAACAGCTGTAGTTAGAAGTTTTTTTGCAGATTCACATTTTACAAGAAAATAAATATACAGAAGTTCAAAAAAAAGGGTTCAGTTACAGATTATATTAAACTACATTATACAGAGTAAAGAGCTCTAAAACAACAAACAAACATCTTAGATGTTTATGCATCAGCAGTACAATAGAATACGACTTTTTAACAATTGTTAGTGTAATAATCTAATAATTTAATATACACTCAGTTCAACAGTCCTGCAACAATCCTCCTTCGTGAGGTGTTGACTCAGGTTTCATTTCGGTTTCAGTTTTAGCTGCTTTGAGTCAGTGACCCTTGTGATTCTAACATGTTCAGCATGTGTTGTGTGTTTCTTACAGAGTCACGACTGTGTGTGATATAAAGATTTGTCTTGATCCCAGATGGCCCTGGGCAAAGAATCTGTTGAAAAGTCAACTGCCAACTCGCCACCATCTGCCCCCTCCAGTGTTGCACGGCGTACATGGAAAATTTTGGATGTGTGAGGGTGTTGTTCCTTTGAGTATCATAACTAAATGTAGATTATGTTCTTTATAAACATGCCTGTCACTGTCTGTCAGCCCTGCAGCTGATTAATTAATGATGATTATACACAAAAATATCTTTGTAGGTTAAAGGTGCTGCTTTTAACTGACACCGTGACCTAAATAATAACTTCTAAAATATCAAAACACACCAGCGGCTTCTAAGAGCCAAACTCCTCTTTGAGTCCTGAGTTGAGACACTGAGAGACACTTTCAGGCAACCCGCTTACGCTGGTTAAAGGTTGAAAGATTTAGTGGCACCTTGAAATGAGGTTAGAAATTGCAACCAACTGTCTAGTCTACCCAGTTTACTCAAGTAACGTATTTAAGTACAATTTTAAGGTACTTTACTTGAGTATTACCGTTTTCTGCTACTTGATATTTCTACTTCACTACATGTAAGAGGGAAATACTCTGCTTTTTACACCTCCCGGTCCACTTTTCTCTTCTCCTATGCCCATGCAGACCTTTGCTGTTCTCCATCCATCCACCAGATGCCCTCGGACTTTCCCTCATCTGCCCTGCATCTGGTCTTCCTTCCTCGCTCGCCTGTTCTCATTTCCAATAATCAGACCCATAGTACACCAGGTCATTTGCACAGTGACCCGTTACTCTTCAGCTTTAGATTACAGCTTGGTTTTTTTTACAATTGCTAAGCCACATTTCTCTAAACAAGTTCACTTTTTCAAAACTCTACACACAGAAAAATGCATTTAACAACCATGTCTTTCCCTCAAACTTAATTGGGACGACGAGCCCCTCATTTTATTCCCAGATGACGTCTATGAAAGACTTGAGCCAGGAAAGGGGGCAGGTGAGACGAGAACATTTTCATTTTCATCCAGTCGCAAAGTGGTTAACAGTCCGGCCCAGGATGGAGTCACTTCTCTCTTAGTGTGCTTAGTTACAGGAGTGTTTCTGTAACTAAGCACACTGAGAGAGGGAAATGGAGGGTGACAGAGGTGTAGGCCCTAATCCTTTCACAGATTACCTCTATAAAAGACTTGTTCCAGGAGAGGAAAGGCGGGCAGGTGAGGCTGAATCCGAAAGGTTTTGCAATTGTACAGGACGACATGGTGTTTCACCCTCTCTTCCAGTCACAGACTTTTTGTGAGCCTTTGCTCTGTGACACAATGAATGCTGGATGTCTGGACACTGACAGACTGACAGGGATGGATCAAATGAAAGAAAAGATCCTTACAAGAGAGGGTAGAAGGTGTGATGTGGATGAGAACTTGTGGCCACATGCAGACGACAGGGTTGACCAGCACTGTTGTATTTCTATATTTGTAGCTCTTCTATCCATGTATGTATATTGAACATGTATGGTTTTGTACTGAATTACTTTCATTTTGAATTTCTCTTTGTAAAAATTTCAGAAAAATCTGATTCAGTTCTGATTCATCGCTGTGACATTTACTGTAAGGCAGCACAACCGGAGTAATAAATAGATATGTGACCTTATTTCTGTTGTAACTGGATCTTGCTTCATGCTAAATAAACACCATAATCTGCTCGTCTGATCAGAGAGTCGTGAGAGAGGTGTTTAACCATGCAACAGAGAGCCACAGAGGGGAAACAAGGAACAGAGTAAGAAGAACAAACACAGAAGCACCGTGCCTCCGCTCACCTCTCCACCCGGATGCAACAGCTGCCTCCACCTGAGTCAGAGGATCGCTGAGCTGGAGGGCCGAGTTTCAACCGTGCACCAGAGCTGCGAGGATGAGCACCACACTGACTCAATAGTTGCCTTAGCAACATCCAGGCTGGCTGAAAATTACATCACTCTCCCCTGGCTTGGCACTACCACCATCGGAGAGCCAGAAATAGTGAAAGCTCCACCAGTCCCCCTGGAGGATCCCTGGCCCAGCCTGGCCAACATGTTCTCATCTCAGATAGACGTTTTGAGAAAACTGACAAAGCGTCTATATTTGACAAGGTGCCCTTCATCGTCTGTATGCAACACCTTTAGGTTTAGGAAAGGATCATTGTTTTGGTTAGGTTTAGTTGGGTTTAAATCAGTACATTATCTGATGGTGAATGGGTTCCATT